CAATGCATCAATACAATAAACATTTGCTTTCTTTCTTTCTTTCCATTGTATAGAGTTTTATAACGTGTTATTTTTTATGGTATATGAGAGCAAACGAGCAAAAGGCCAATTCTCGTAATAAAAGTTCGGTCTTAATTCTGTTCCGATCAACTTTCGATCTCGATTCGAATGTTTTTTGTAGATAAGTATTAAACATCCAACGTTGACTGTAATGTGATTATATCACATGGTAACCGAAAATTGAATCGGTTATCTGCTAGTCTTAATAATACTTTAATATTTTACTACGAAAACACCTTTCATGACAGTTGTGAGATTGATCGGAACTGAATTGTACCGAACTTTTATTACGAGTTTTGGCCTTCTGATCATCTGAAGTCCATGGGTGTACATGGGCAATGGTACGAGTGTACTTATAACTACCATTGCCCATGGACACCTGAACTGTCACAAGTGCGTTGCCACTCTGAGTCCTCTGCCCAGAATCACAGCGAAGAGGGGTTTTGGCTCCGGTTACCTTACTCGGGGAAAAGCACAGAAATATCATTACTTACTTACGCCAACATGTCCTCCATTGTTCAAATATTTAGCTTTCAGTACTGACTTGTTCCAAACGAACTTTTAGTAGCTTTTTAAAAATTTCACATTCCTCCATTCAAGCAACTTGCTTAATAACGTCTAGAAACAATCCTCTGCACACATTATATATTTACATAGATTATTCTTTTTAAGGGTACAAAAAACAGCACTTCATAGACAATATTTTTTTTATTTTAATAAAAAAGACCATTTCAACATTCGACTAACAAATCACTTTCTCCTTTGAACAAATACAGCTCCTCACCACTAAAATAGACATCACAGATAAAATATAGACACAAAATATTCTTTTTTCCACTAAGATTATTACCAGTTGTCTATCAAACGCTGTTTAGCTCTTCGGTTTGAAAAAGAAATGTTATTTTATGCGGTGTGTTGAAGGAACAATAATTTACATAAAATTACCTATCTAAAATCTACTTTAGGGTAGCTGTGTCTAGACAGCCTTCTTCATTATGTTCCTTATATTGTCTAATTAACTTTAACTGGTGAATACCTACATATACAATAAGGTACTCCATTTAAGAACAAGAGGCAATATTATTATCAATGCAATATTTATAAATGTCTTCAAAATTACAATATTTGTAACGATACCAAAAATTGTTTTTTTTTTAAATATATATATTCTTCTACTTATTGGTTTAAAATGTCGAAGTATCATTCTTATATGAACATACAACTTAATGCCTTAAATACAAATCAATAAACTTTAATGTGAATATCAGTATTCATATTTTATAACAAGATACAGAATTTGGCAGAACTTTACAAATTCACTAGTTTTATAAGAATCAGAATAAACATAATTATATTTAATTTTTATATTTAAACGGATTGAACATATATGTATAAGTGTCCAAGAAAATCCAATATCGAACAACCGCCTTTATTCCTAATTTATTTATTATTCATAACAATTCAATATGTGTCATACATATACACCAGAATACCAAACATTGAATTATCAGTCACATCCTTCTTACAAAAGATTTTTTTGAAACTAAACAGTTTTTTGTATAATATTGATATGTTCATCAATAATGAATCGTGGGTTTGCATGAAGTTGCTGGCAGCAGCTGGCAGCAGCAGGCTTATCAACCAAAGTAATAATTGATATAAATGGTATAACATAAACATAAGATAGGTACTATATAAGGGAAAACGCTTATATCTGGTACATATTTGATACCTAAAAGTAAACTAAGTAGTGTTAAACTTACAAATTCGTCAACCGAAACAATTGCCCATATATCGTATAATTATGTTACGGCGTAACCCATTATTCTGATAAATCTCACGATAAGACAGTAAAATCTAAGATTCACTAAGTCCTAATGGTGCAAGTCTGAAATGATTGTATCTGTTGTAAAACCTAAGATTAATCGAGTGGGTGGTGTTTGCAAAACATTTCAAACTTTTACCAACAAAAACCGGTAAAAGCTAATTTTACGAGCTAATCGTAAGATTACCGTAATTTGATAGTAGATACCGTAGTTTTACATTAATATTTACATTGGTAGGAAAATACCTTCCTCCTTTAACTACAACAATATTTATTAAAAAATAGCAGATAAAATTCTTTTGTGAACGCAGGGAGATCGCAATAGGCAACAACATAATATTAAGATACAGCTAAACAACATTTCATAGTACATAAACATTACCGATAAAGACGTGTGCATTTAGTTAATGATTAAGTACAATATTTACATGGCGATTACACACAGTATGTACAACTCTTGAATTAACAAATAATCTAAACCTTACTGCCTCGAAAGTGACGACCTGTAATGAATCACGTTAGTGTGTCAACTGGTTTGCGATGAGCAATAATATGTAAACTGATATAATATTTAAGCATGGCGGCATAATAACCAAATTCATAACGGTTTTTTTTCATCAATCCTGGTTTAGTAGAAAAATACTTTATTAATACCTAATAAGTTTTGGACATAAGTACGTAATTTTTTTGTATATAAGGAGTATTTACTACAGATTCGAGGTTTAATAATATATTTATCGGGAGATTGTGCATTTGAAAATTTGGTTTTCTTAACTTGCATCGGTTTCTTCTCCATTGCAATGAGAATACAATAAAGTTAAAACAGAAAAGCATTAACAATAATTTACCTTAATGATTGCACTTGATAAGGGATGAAATTAAACAAACAACTGATACTTAGTAAAAAGACTTTGGCAAAATTATTTTTAAGTGAGCGATTGTTATATTACGAGTAATACTGTTAACGGATGCCGATCTTTGAGCAAACTATCAATACTTTCCCCGAATGGCACATACCTAATCTTAGTACTATTACATAATTATATACGCATTTAATAGATTTACATTAGTTGATTGTACTTATTTCATTAAAATAAGTAGGAAATTAACTTAATAGAAGTGGTCCATCATAATTATTATGGCAACGATAGTTTTTATTTATTCGCGTTTTTTGGGGCGTAAGAAAATACCGTAAAATGAAGAATATCTGCAATACTGTATAGCGTGAATTCAAAACTTGATACAATTATTTACCTTCAATTTAATGTATTTGTCTATAAACTATTCTCTTTTTTATTATTAAGATTAAGTTTCTGCATACGACATTTGCGTATCGTTAAAGTATTTTTGTGATAGTTCTTATGAATCTAAAATAAATCTTAACATTTCTCAATTTGTGTAGATGGGAACCCCTGCTAGGATCTTTTACTTTATTTCAAGTATGTGTAATTTTCAATCCATAGTTATCAATTTTATTATCAATCTTATTGTGAAAACTTTGGTGTAAAAAGTACCTACTGTCCCTACTGTTTTATCTGGAATCTTAGCATAAGCTTTGACAAAGAGACAAATGAATAGATTTGTAATGTTTTATATAATTAATTATAATTTAGTTAATATATAGGGTTATGTTATTTTTAGTTGAATGTGATGCCAAGCTTTTGTCTAATTATACATTTTGTTTGTAACACAAACTAGTCCAATATTTTTGTTCGTAGAATAAAATATATGTTTACAACTAAGTTTTCGGTATATATAATTGTTGGATTGGTTGGATACGGGTTGTGGAGAGCCTTGAAGGAGGCCTTTGTCTAGCAGTGGACTTCTTTTGGCTGAAATGATGATGATGATGATGATAATTGTAATATTAATTAACTAGTCCCAATGACTTATAATTTTTGGAGATAAGAGGAGTTTTTATCAATATAGACCTATCTGTCAATAAAATAATGTGTCATAAATATCAAACGTTACAATCACCGCTTTATATTCACAACCAAACCATTTTTGGTAAAAAGTAATCAAGAAGTTGTGTCGTATCTGATAAGTAAAAAAATATATTAAGAAAAAATAGGAGTCTGTACAATTTTTTTATGAAAATGCATAGTCTCTTATTAGATTTCTTCTTATTATGAACGGCTACCTAAAACTGCAAATACCATACGATATCGATTTTTTTTGTTATACTTTAAACAACTAAGATATCTTTTTATATTTCTCATTAATTCCCTAGTCTCGACATTAACAAAATATCTTTAAATTACGTAAGGCGTAGTTATATATTTTTAAATGTATATATATCCGTAGGTGTCTTAGGAATGTACACAACAGTAAAAGGTTTAAGTACTTTGGCATAGCATTACTTACTACAAAACTTAAATCATAACAAGGGTTAAAAGATCACCAGCGAGTAATATTAGTTTCTAAACAATCACGTAGTAATAATAAATTAATTTTAATTTTCTTGTTGAAATAGAATATGATAACCTTTTGAATGTGCTTCTTCCCTTTTTTTTATTTACTTTATTGCCGACACTCACGAAATAGAATTTTAATCATCAGTGGGATCCCTATTAATCTTATTGAGATAGCAAACAGTATAATTTCTAACACCAATAATTACTTTTACATCTTATTTAAGATCAGATCTTTCTTTATACATTATCTTTGTAAAATTTTGTCAGTTAATTTTTTGTTGACACTACACATTGGCGTAAACTAAGCAAGTTAGAGGAAAATAATAACTGATCCTGACTACATATATTACTTTTTTATACCAAGGTAACTCAAAAATACTTAAACTAAGTCGCCAGAATCACAAACGTTCATGACCTCAAAATTAGATATTATTTGAGGTATATATCAATTTATATTCTGGCATCTTTTAACTGAAAGCAGCTAGCTAATTATTTCCACAAACTGTTCTAAAGGAGATGAACACGTTATTTAACTACACATCATTTGTTGTTTTGTTGGTTTGACAGAAGTCGCAACGCTTTTTTTCATTTCCGCATTATTTTGATGTTAATTCTACACACTTCTAAGCTTCTTATTATTGTTCTTTATAAGGACTTGTAAGAAGGTACAATCAATCTTCTTGTAAGTTATATTTTCGCTAGATCCACATCAACCGGCTGAAATGATGATGATATTAAGAGTCAGTCTACTTATACTTATTAATCACATAATAATCAGTTATGCGCTGGAACAGTCAGCTGTTACAGTCATCTACTTATTCCCGAGGAATCATTGTGTAATATATTTACGCTAGACAGGCGGGCGAAAGACGTTTTTTCTCGAGTTCAATGCGTTGAATGAGTTCATCAGACCATCTATGTGCTGTGCGGTCGATTGTCGAAGGGACGGTTAGGCAATTCACACCGCCATATTCACAGGCAATCTGAAAATATATTGTTATAATTAAAATAAGGTACTCAAACTAGTTTATAATCTAATATGAAGAATTGCTTTAAAGTAATAGACTGTGTCGAACGGTTTTCCAGCATCCACGGCGCTTCAGTATTCTACTAACTATTATATTACACAGATATACCTACCCTGTTGCTCAAATATTCAACAGAGTATACCTACATATTTTATAAATACCCTTTAACGTGGGAAGTTAATAGTAAAACATGAAAAGTAAGTAGATAAACATATTAAAAATATCAACTATAGAGATTTTATTAGTTTGTTGCAAACCAAAATTATGATTTTTGGTTATTGGTTCTTCGGGCACGCCGTTATTGCGGTGGTAAGTCCCGTTTTGGAGAATTGGCTCGAGAGGCAACCTGAGAACCCTCTCATACCGGCTGACATAAGTGATCGCCAGGAAAGAATGCTTTGGTGATCATTAGTATCTGATCCACAAGGAGCCAACGGCAGATGGTGGACACAGTGCTCCACATGCTGACAGAGTAAGTGAGTTGGGAAGAGGCGCGACCGTCTAAATGGCTATCGGAGTGGAAATTATCTTCCACACCATGATTACGGCCATCGTATGGAGCGAGAGCGCTTATAACTATGCCATCTACTTCTTCGAGCAAGTTATGCTCGTAAAGGAGACGGCGGAGTGGGACCTGGAGAGGTTTAGAAGGCCTGTAAGATCGGACGAGTTCTAAACCTCTCCAGGCCTGATTATTTCCACACTAAAAAAAATACGGATGTTGGCTTAATACACCTGTGCCTTCTTGCTCAGCTACCACCTAAAAGAAAGACCTGATACCCAAAAAGCGAGAGCGGTGTAAACTTTTCTTTGTTTTTTTTTATTAAACCACTCCTCAAATCATTTAAGTAATGATTTAAGGGAGTGGTTCTTCTTTACTGCTACTGTTATATATTCTGTGTTAATGTTCATAGTACAATATTAATAGATTAGTTACCATGTTGCTACAACGATTTAGAATTGTTGTTTTTAAAAATGATGTCATTTCTAGGTCGTAAAGATCGTCGAACATCTAATGGGAGAGAATATCATTTATACTGTTGTTCATAAACAGCTTCATTATTTTCCAGGTACACAGAGCTCCACCAATTATGTTTGAAAGAAAAAAACGTGTTGCCATTTTGAAAAAAAAAAAACATAATTACAAGCTTGATTATTCACGAAATTAAATAAAATAATTACGGCTATAAATTAAATTAAAAAATATAGTGTTGATCATAAGGTTTTTTTTTACAGTACACTTACTGTAAAAAAACCTTTATGATCAACACTATATTTTAAACAATTGCAGTGTTGAATCATTCATAAAGTAAGTATTTCGAGCTATCGAGTCAAATAAAATCAAAACCAAAAGTTATTAAATCAAAATATTTTTGCAGTATTATACAGAGCTAACAAATATGTCAATAAATTGAAAATAATCTATATTATTTTTAATATCATTCATATAAAATTCATCAACTTTGTGGCCGATCCTAGATCTGGTTTTGCACTACTCCTTTATTGAAATTATGCTAAATTTAAATTGAGTAACTATCCTTTTGATTGATGATGGTCATTCATGTTTTATCATTTTGTATACTGAATGAAGATAAGGAAAAATTTATACCATAAAATAACTTATTCTCAATAGATTTCAACTTTCAGTCGATACAAAATTTTTGGTAATAAGTATGGAGTAAAATGTTTTAGTGACGTTTTATACTCACTTGAAAAAAAAAACGGTAATTTACGAGTCGAACTCGTACGCCGAGGGTTCCGTATCTACCCAGATTTTACGTAGATTTTCGCGAAAATTAGTAAGTACCAAAATTTATCTTCATTTTCATTTTTTTTTAAATTATTCCTTTATTTGTGCTGTAAAACGTTTCTTTTTGCCAAATTTCGTGATTCTAGGTCAACGGGAACTACCATATAGGTTTTCGAACCAAAACCTATAGGGTACTTCCGGTTGACCTAGAATTGTCAATTTTGATTAAAAGCCAGGTCTTACAGCAAAAGTAAAGAAAATTCTGAAAAATAAAAAGTTGAAAACTAAGGTAAATTTTGGTACTTACAAGTTTTCGTGAAAATCGAAATTTGCCCATATCTTTTTATCGTGTCGACTCTGGACCTTGATGTTTATACACCTAATAGGGACCATAGACCTCAGATCTGGTATAAATTTCAACTTACTAGGTCTACCCGTTCCTGAGAAAATCGGTGGTGACACAGGGACAGACGGACAAGAAAGTGATCTTATAAGAGGTCCTTTTTTACCTTTTGAGGTACGGAACCCTAAAAACTAAAAAAATTCCCATTAGTTATTGGCTTAACTATCATGGCTTATTTTTTTAAATTATAAAATCATATATAAGGTATTTAATTTTCAAATAATATATTACGAAAATCTAAAAACGACTAGTTACCCGGTAATGATGCAATAGTGCCCTATCCGTAGGGACCCCAGCAGAAGAAGCGCCGGGCGCTAGTTCCCAGACGAAATGGTTCCCAAGTTCGACGGCGTCACGCGGTCGTAACGCATATTTGCTTCGATTTTTGAGGGCGTGAGGTGTCACCCACCGACGTGTCTTACGGGAGGTTGTTAATGAAGGTATGCTCTCTGGATCATCCTGAAATACCATTTTACTTTTTCAGTACTGGCGATTTTTGGATATTAAGAAAATACTAATTTATTTTCCTTGTCCTGAAATAAAACAACACATTATTATAATTACTATCTCCGCCAGTAGATAGCATCAGTTCTCGTAGACAGTTTTTTTAGAGTAGGCGTCACAATGTAATTATATTAATATGTTCCAGATTTTCAAATAATATAATAAACAAACAACCCAAAAAAGCAAAGGAGAGAGAAATAATAGTTATGAAGTAGACTGACAGCAGATGTGGAAAACGATTATTTGGATTACGGCTTAATAGCGACCATTATTTAACTAGGACTAGTACTTTAAAAAAAAGTCAGAGCTGCAAAATACGCTGAGTTCATGTCAAGTAATGTAATATGCAAGTCAATACTTTTATCGGACCTCAATGACTCGCTACATTTTTAATAGTAAAATAATTAATTATGATCGGAAGATGCAGCGTTTTATAATATCCGGCGCAAAGTAATAGAGTTTCGAATAAAGCAAAATTCTATTAATTAGTATTAGTTACCAAGCTGGTTGTCACTCACCTCCCATTTTAGATAAAAGAAAGCATTTCTAAATAAGAATGCTCCCGGCGCTTTCGACGGTGGGTCGTACATTGCTCTTAGCGCTGTAAGTAAAGCGGGTAAAGTTCGCTCACGCCGCGGTAACACAATCTCATCAACGTCTATAACAAGTAGCCAACCAGCGCTAGACATGGACCTGTAGAGACAATCGTTGAATGCCGCAAACTGGCCTTCTGTTCTGTAATAAAAACCATCATATTTAGATTTGTTGTAACATAAACAACACGTGGTCTTGTATTACACAATTTTAAAGTTTGATTTATTGATTATAATAAACTTATCTATTAACAATTGATGATGAGAGAATCTTACTAATCTGATTCTATGAAGTCTATATGGCTAGCGTACCTTATTTCAACTTTGGAGACTATTGGCAGTTTCCAAGATAGCAACGTGATCAGCTTTTGTTTTCGATAGTGGTCAAGAAGGCAGGCGACCGGTCCGCTTAAGGACTCGTTGTACATATAGAAGTGGTTTGCGCCCAGTAACCGGTTTAACTCGAACCATTCTAGGAGCCATTCATTGCGGGCGTAGGAATAGTGGAAAGGCTTCACGCAAATATGTAATTGTTGCTGAAAATACAAAAAATATCATATATCAATTTATGCAAAATTTGGGAATGTACGGGAATCGCGAGTGCTGCCGATCTCTATTGGAAGGAAGAGTACATAGAGCTGACTCCCGGCTTTCGCTAGTCGGAGAGGCAATACGTTACATTGACGACCGAATGGCGTAGTGATTTGTGTAACGGACTGCTATTCCAAAGGTCACGGGTTCGATTCCCGCTCAAGTCAAACATTTGTGTGCATGAACATTTAATGTTTGATTTGGTCTGGGTGTTTCTATGTATAATAAGTATATATTTACAAAAAAAGTATATATGTATTGATATCAGTTATCAAGTAGCGTTAGTACAAGATTTGCTTAGTTTGGGACTAGGTGGCGTTGTGTGAAGGTGGTTAAAAAAAAAAAAGAGATACAGGTATCGAGAGCAATATTAATATACATTAAGTAAAAATATCAATACTGAACAAGAAAATCCTTCTTAAAAAAAGTTGCACTGACTGTAAATAAGACTAACAAATAGCACTAAAAACCTAGCAGCAATCGCTGTTGATTTGCTGTCATTTCTTTAAGAGTTCTCTTGTCTGTCTCCAAAACTCATCATCATATCTATATGAAATTTAAAAAGGACCATTTCGGAATAAACCCCTTTCGAACAAAACAACATTTTGAAAATCCGTCTATATTTAACAGAGTTACGCCTGAACATACATAAACGTCCGTGTGGTGACGGATTAAGAATACAAAGTGTCACCACCCCAATTCATCCCGTGGGTGTCGTAAGAGGAGCACTACGCAGAACAACAGTACTGCAAAGAGAAGGAAATCTTGAAACAAACCCTATACCAACCCGTTTGGCCAGCGTGGCAAGTAGACCAAAACCACCTTTCTAAGGAGAGGCCTATGTCCAACAGTGGACTATTAAAGGTTGTTGATGATGATACATAAAAAAATATAAACATCCGAATTCATAACCTCCTCCTTCTTGAAGTTGGTTAAAAAACTAATAGTTTCCTCCGAAAATAAAGGAAGAACTTCAACGCTTGAGAAAGTTAATGTGCACTATACAGGCTGTAGCGAAAACTGAAATAGTGTATTCAGACCATGATTCTGAGACGAAAAACATTGGAATTTTCTGCCGGGGAAATTCATCAATATTTTTATAATTTTATAGTTTTTGGTTAAAACTGATGAAAAATGATATCACAATGAGTAAACAGAAAATTATACCCAAAAACAATATAATAAATACTGCATACGGTCAAAAACTGCAATGTAATTAATCAAACAGCCGAAGCGCGCGGTGCCTTACCTTTTTTTTTATAGGATACCACTTACCGGTGGCAATTTCGGACTCGAACCGATTAGAACCGCACGCCGTATCAGGTACCAGTAGTCGGGGAACCAGGTGTACCCTAGAAAGGAAATCCCTAGTGCCCCGACCTAGGCCCCCGGTGCCCTCGGGCCATCTAGGGCGGGTAGACGACTCCCCCTGTGTGGGAATCCCCAGGCCTGCACTTATGGAGGAGGGAGGTCGTTCTGCGACCTCCGGCGCCTGAGTCGTCTGCGGTATCTGGCCCGTTGCCGAGCCTGGCGGGCCGGGCGAGTTCTAAACCTCTCCCGGTCCCGCTCCACCATCTCCTTCGCAAGCATCACTTGCTCGCAGAAGGAGACGGCAGAGTTCCACGCACTCTCGCTCCGCACGATAGCCGCAATCAGGTTGTCGAGCGAGAGAACTCCCACTCCGATGGCCGCCCCGAGGTCTCGCCTCTGCTCCACCCACGCCGGGCATTCTGCCAGCGTGTGAAGCGCCGTGTCCACGGTCCGACCATCGCAGTGGTGGCACTCACGCGGGGCCTCCCCTCCGGACGCCAACTTGTGTTAGTGTGCGTAGACTGTTTGCACGGAATACACATGTAGTTATTACTTGTGTGCTATGCCTACGGGGAATGACCTTAACCTTTAACAGCTGATTGCATAAAAAGTTAAAATTTCCGGCAGAAAAATCCAATGATTTTCGACTCAGAATGATGGTCTGAATACACCATTTCAGTATTCGTCGAACATATTTTTTGTCTGCATGAACGATCGGTAGGTAAAAATTTTGAGGTGATTTGAATACGATGATATTACGAATAAATAACCATTTATTTTTATTAAAATGTATTTTATTAAAATCTCAAAGTATACTGTATATGTTATTTAATTAACCAAAAATTATAATAGTATTCTATGATCTGATTTCTTCAATAAATAGAACAAACGTTGATAAATCCAGTGAGTGATGTTTTTTACAAGGTTTTTAATAGGAAACAATATTACAGCGCCATTATTGTGATAACAATATCATAATTTTAATAAATACACATCATTAACCATATCCATAATGAATGAGATGCAATGATAAGCAATAACGTGCTTATCATTGCATCTCAATCATTACGTATATATATATATCAATACAAATATTGTCATTGAACAAGCTAATAATATCATATTGTTGGCATAAACCTTACATTTATGCTATTTCAGTATTGTGTTTGTATAGCGTGTTTGGAGCACTTATCTTTAAATCTAGTGCAATGTTTGCACGAGAATCTAAATGCACTTTGCGTTAGTTTTTTAACGTTAGTAAATATTTAATTCTGTAGTTTTTAATGAATTACTATAAAGCTCTAAATATATCAAACACAGATAAGAATTTGTAAATTAAAAAATGTTTGGGCAACAGTTTGTTTCATTACTAAATAATTGCGAGCTATATATATGTAATTAATATTTTGGAACCATTACGGCAATATAGATATCCAGAAGTGGCTTCTAGTAAACACTGCAAGTTTTGGCTTACATGATGCTTGACGTTCGTTTCAGATCAAGAGATCGGCCTTACAAATGATGGCAAACCAGGGAATAAATAGGGAAAATCCTTTTTTATTATTTTTCTTAACTTACATGTATTTATTTACAGTTTGAGTTTGAATTGATGGCATACAAAACCTTGTACCGGCCTTTTGCCCGTTACTAAGTTTTTTTTATGAAATATTTATAACACAACAATTGTTGTGTTGATTTACTGCTTATGTCCGTGGTTTCGATTGCGTTAGTCAATTTTCCAGGGAAAAAGTGGCGCATATCCTATTCCAAACTGTTAATCTATCTCTGTGCCAAAAAAAACCAAGTCTGCTTAATCGTTCTAACGTAGTTCTATAACAAACATTCATCTATCCATCCATTCATCAAAACTTTCAGTTTTATAATATTACGAAATTATAAATCACTTTAAAGCTACAAATAGTCACAGAAAAGGTTAGAAAAATTTAATAGGCAAAACTTATAGGGGATAAATAGATATTCTTACCTCTATCCCGCTCTTCGGTTCTGTGTCCAACACTGTAAGCAGGTTGGTAGGCGGTCGATTGGGCACATTGCTCGAGAGCACTGAAATGGCAGCTCCCACCGTTTCTTGAGGCTTGACCCCAGATTCACGCAGTAAACATAACACGTAAGTGGCACTGTATTTAAGATTCCAGTTTTCACGGATAGCCTGGAATAGAAATATGGAAATATAAATCTTAGTTAAATGAGATATTCACACCAGCCACAGATGTCTTATGTTAAACAAAATATAACAGTTACTTATTTAAGTAAGACAATAGGTCATTATCCGCGATATTGATTCTATGGGTATTAAATGTTCTCTTTCGCGAAGTATGCACATGTATAATCAGGGTAACAAATAAATAATTATTGACTTTTTCTTAGTCCAAAATTTTAATGTTTGTTTAAAACCTACATTCCGGCCTACTAACCTGTATTTTATGTCCCATTTCATTAAAAATCTATTCTTTTAAATTACGTGTAGTTAATTTCATTCATTAACACAATCTCCATGCTCGTCAGGTAACACTTCCCTAACATCATTATACATGTATATCCCTTACATAATTATTGTAAAAGTAAACCCGTTTCGTTAATTGCATTGGATAATAAAAGAGTTGTTATGAACTGTCGGCATCTGCACTAAACAACTAACAGTAATAGATTTTATGGTAGATGAATCGCTTCAATAACAATACAATTGAATAATCAAGTAGGTAGTTGAAAGAAGACCCGTTTTATCCAACCACTTTTGGACTAGTGTCCACATACATATTACTTTTAGTAATAAAAGGAGGAACCTTCTTTACAACCAGAAAATTTATTCAGATTGTCACAATACATAGGGATAAAACTGATACGTACGGTCATCCTGATCAAGGATTTATGGATAAATTTAATGAGAATACTGACTATCTACAAACAAAAAAAAAATGTGCTATTCTCCCTGTCTAATCCCAAATAATTATTTTATATTATAAGTTTTGTACTATACATTATAATTATTGTAGTACCTTGACTCTAGCTTTGAGTGTAAGTGTTCGGTTATCAGGCAACCACAATCGGCAAATAACGTGATCTGCTCCGCGCGTTTTGGTCGCTGCGATTATTCGCACGGCCGCAACTGTGCGACGTTCGACGTACGCCGAGTACACGTAAAATCTGAATCTGTGGAAAAAATATATTTAATCCTCATTCTAAAATAAAACTCTCTCTCTTTTTAAAATACATAGTATAAATTAATTTGTCTCTTAATAAGGACAATGAAATTAAAATTTATGTATTTTCAGATTTCATGACATTTTTAATCCATACATTATACATTTTTCGGACTGTCTGTCATCAGACAGTATATATACAGTCCGTGCTGTACTTGCCCCGGTGACCTCTCCAACCGCTGGATATTGGTACATACCGCAGTATTAGTCCTGTCTCCCATCCGAGTACTGCGATACCACCCCTACCCTAATTTTCCTTTCACATCCAATCCTCCCACCCCCAATGTCTTTTTTTTTCTCTTCCCTACCGTATAAACGACAACATACCTAAGACGGGTTGGCGACAGGCAGGCGGTCGGCCATAAAATTAATTAGCCAAAACATTTCTGCAGTATGAGTATGATGCAAAGTGAGTGCGAATGTGCTAGGGCATACCCCGTAGGCGACGCGCGGCAGCAGCATCCGGCTACGCAAATAAGTTGACAAGGGTTGTTGCACCACCCCAGGTGGGTGCAACGTAAGAAGCAAGCCCGAGAGGTTAGGTTGAGGTATGCAATTTGGAATGTTGGGACTATGACTGGAAGAGCGAGAGAGCTAGCAGATGTGTTGAAAAGAAGAAGAATAAACGTGGCATGCTTCCAAGGAACAAAATGGAAGGGTACGAAAGCAAGAGAGATAGGAGAGGGGTACAAGTTTTATTACTGTGGAAGTGATGGAAAGTGAAACAGAGTGGGTGTAGTTTTAGATAGTGCCCTGACAAAGTGTGTGACGGATGTAAAGAGAGTGAACGATAGAATAATAATAATAAAATTAGTATGGGAGAGCATGATTATGAATATTGTTAGCGTGTATGCACCTCAATGTGGATGCAAGGATGAAGTGAAAGAAAATATTTACCATTCTTCTTTGTACTTATTCCCAAAGTCAAAGGCAAAAGAGAGTTAAAAGAAGACCCCATCATTTGGGGTCAGGTTTCCTTACTTTCTTGTTTGTCTTAAGTTGGTAGAAGAGATAAAGAAAACAAAATTATATATCTTGGATTTTCGTTATACTTTCCGACATTGAAATATCTATGTAGATAATTATAGGTCTTGATTTAATAATACCGAGATCGATCATTTCACCTTCATTAGGAGACTAATTCTGTATGACAGATTACCAGCCTCTCTGAACTCTGGAAAGCTGAAAGTATAGTCGGTCTAGCTATAGAAAGTGTCTTCATAATTAATGGATGATTATATGGTACCTTTGTGTGTGCGTGACACACACACACGTGATTGTTAATCCCTTAACTAAACAACAACTATATGGATTGCCTAATTGAAAAAGAGATAAGACTAACTCTAAATTTAGACAAACATAAGATCATATTTCACGCGTACTACGCTTTAATGCGACTAGACAGCTAAACGGTTTTAGGCAAATCGAGTGTCATTAAATTTGTCTCCGTATCTATTGGAACGCTCAGAATTGCTACCATTGTAATTGTGTGACGTAAAGTAAAATGAATTGCTACAAAGCTTTTGAAAATGGGATCAATGTATCTCTTTAATGGATCGCTTTAAAAACTACTGTTTGTATTTTTAGCTGCATTGAAATAACAACATGGACATAAATTTTCGACAGAAGTTAGTAAAAGAGTATATATATTTTAGTATTATTAAAATATATTTTATATTCTATTATAGTTTTAATTGCCTCAAATATTAGGGGTTAAAGTATGAAATTTCTAATTTGTACTCAAAAATTTAACTCAACTCAAAAATTGAACTCTGGGGTCTACATTCCCAAACTGTGTGAAAGCATTTTGTACTGCCTCCTGGGTAGAAAATTTTTATCACGTAGAAAATTTACCAAATTACGAAAAAAATGGTAATCCTTGGAGCAAGGTTTAGCGAGTACGGAGGATGACTTATGGTTTTTAACTGCAGCTCCTGTAGAGTTACAACGTTTTCTCGTGCAGTGTGAGGTCTTGCGTTATCATGGAGCAATAATGGTGAAGATCGATTCACGAGTCGGAGCTGTTTCACTGCCAGTTTTGCCATCATTGTTTGAATAGTTAACAACTGCTGTTATTACCTGACCAGACCCGAGGAAGCTATAGGGAATAACACCATGAAGAGACCACCAGACAGTGACCATTACCTTTTTATTGGTAAGCTTGACTTGGAGTTTGCCATTGCATTGTTATTATCGTAAACAATCCACTTTGCGACACATGTCATAATTCGATCCAATATTCCTTAATTTCTGTACCGATTCAACAAGGCAACACAAGTTTTAACACGCATTTTAATCGTCATTAAAGTGAATGTTGCACATTTTTAAAAAGAAGTACCTCATTGGTATGATGTGAAAAAAGTTTCACACGAAAATCTCACGCCACGAAGGTTTTATATATTTTTATTCAAAGTATCTATTACTATATAATGGCAATTTCATACTTTAACCCTTATTATTAAAGTCTGTGTAATAAATAGTTTCGCAGAGTCAGTATTTATCGTGAACGATATCGACCCTCTTAATAAACAATGCCTTTCGAAATGCAAATATTAGTCCCCGACCTCGACGCGAAATATCTGGCAGTGAAGCTTCCAATTATTTATTTAATACCAGTTTAGCTGTTATATTTGAACTCTATCGATCTGTCTGTTGTCAAATTAGAATTTGGTACTATTTTTAAGTATTCCTCTCGTAATAAATCAGGGCTTAAAACACAATAAGTTAATTTATAGCGTGTAGAGATGTGATGTACCTGTTGTAAAAACCTGGCTATCATACTCGTATTCATGCAGCCTAATCAAATCACTTTTTATGGTATAGGATGCAAATGAGAAGACGGGTCGCCTGATGGTAAGTTAGTATACAACCGCTCATGGACACCTGCAACTCAAGACGAGTCACGAGTGCGTTGCCGGTCTTTAGGGCCCTCCTCCTAGAAAAGGGGGAGGGGGCTTAAGGCTCCTATAACCACACGCACCGGTTTGCAGTGAGGCAGTGATATCAATCCGGTCGAGCCGGGCCCATTTGTGCCGAAGAATGACTCCCCCACGTCAAAAAAAAATACATAAACCAGATTAATTAATCTAACTTACAAATACTTAAACTAGTCAGAATAATATCGCAACATTGCACAAATTATTATAATTTAGTTTCAACTGAACCAAATTAAAAAGCAGAAAGTTATTCTGCTATCTTATCCCATAACCTATCCTTTATTTTCAGACTAATGCTAAGCCTATTCTAAAAATGTTGAACACGTCAAACAAATAATATAAACATAAGGGGTTATCTAGTAGCTACTGAAGACCATTACAAACCTACTGGATCCCATATCATAAACGCTATAAAATACCCAACTCACTGCCAAATTTCATTTTGATACGACAATCAAACGTTAGTTTAAATTCATTTACAGGTTTAAGCAACAGCACGTAACAGGTAAAGCTAAGAGTACAAATTTTAACAATCTTTTATTAAAACGATTGTTAAAAATTGGAAACTAAGCAAAAAACTTATTAGTCACGATGAAATTTTTTACCGATGGATGAGGATGCCAACACAAATAGAGAGCTATAGTGCCTTCCATCTCCGCAGTTATTAAACACACACACACACACTTAAACACACAATTACCAAATCATATCAGAACATGTACCAGCAAAACAGAAACGATTTCCTATTCCATTTGTCCTGGTCGTTTCTCTTGAAATCTGTGCTATATTTTCATAGTAATTCAAATTCTTTGCATTCAAGACAACACTCCGGTTTTAGGCCCGATAAAATAGACCCTTAATATTACTAATGCAAGAAAAATGACTTAATCCTTTTTATGATCTGGTTTTTAAGCCAGTTTTATCGCTCACTGTCTGCGATAAAACTAAGATTTAATTATAAATACCTTTTCAGAAATATAGACTCATTAATTCAAGCAAATAAATTAATTGCCAAACTTAGGATAAAACATAAAACGATTTAAGTTCATGTAGTTTGTTTTAATTACTTTTTTATATTTATTATTTTTATTTTATTTTAATTGATAAAGTTATCGTTTTAATTGAGTTATCTATTTACGTGATGCGGGGATGTTTGTAAAAAACCTCAAAACATATTCCAAAGAAGTGCTTCGTCAAACGAACAATTCGAAAACGAACAAGAAGTCCTTCGAGGAGTTTTTTGAATAATACATTTCTCTAAAATTTGTCTACAAAAATATTAGAATTTAAAAGAAAAACGTTCTATCTACTTCATAACAAATATCTGTTTATCAAATCTCAACGTAATCTAATCAGCTGTTTGAGGTATTCGTTGAACAGCAAACCGTCACGGTTTCTTTAATTTACATATATGATATTACAAAAACTAACCTAAACCGATTATATCCCTTGCATTTTTCTTGCATTTCTTGCATTCTTTTTTTTTTTTAAAGACAACTCCCGCATTAGAAATACATATCCTGTGTCGCGGGGTACTTTACAAACATACATGAAACGAACACAAAGAACACCCAGACTCAGAACAAGAATTTGTGGATCACACAAAGTGTCGTCCCGTGTAGGGTTTGAACCCATAACACTCGACGTAGTAGTTAGCAGCGTGGCGACCGCCTAAACCACTACGCCATCCGTGCAGTCATCACTGAGTAGTAAAATACAATATTTTCAATACTAATCTATAGATGAGCATCCAAATATCTTATTCATATAACATGTACGAGAAAGTGAACACAGAGTAGTTAAATACTGATGGCAACGCCAGACCATGATTAGTTTGTTCATACAGGCGACCAATCTATCATCAAAATCAGGTAGGTAATTTCACGAGGCGCGCACAGTCGGGACAGGATATGAAGGCTTGGATATCGTATACAAGCGACTCGCCAATACAACTCAGGAAATGGAAAAAGCACTTCGATTTCAACATCGAAGAATAAAGGAAAATATTCGTAAATTCCTTCTTTTTATTTGTATTGAATTTATTCGTATCGCTGTCGCTTGAGATGTATGTATTTGTTTAATCTCATCAGATTACAAACAAGAATAAGTTCTGACGGTATTATGTTACAAGGATATTATTATAACATTGTGCAGTGCAAAATACATTGTATTAATGGATATCGAGGAATAAGTGTAAGTAAGTAAGTATCGAGTAATATGTTTATTTATGTGAATGATCTTTATTTTACTCAATCTTTTTTTATAGACATATACATAGGTATTTATCATCTGAATATTTATATTCTAGATTTTCTCATAAAAGTAATTTTACAAGCAATTTGTGTATACAAGCAATTTGAACAATCACCTGTGTCTGATCCGCAAGGAGCCAACGCCTGGGTGCCACCACTGCGATGGCCAGACCGTGGACACGGCTCTCCACACGCTGGCAGAGTGCCCGGCGTGGGTTGAGCAGAGGCGAGACCTCGTGGCGGCCATCGGAGTGGGAGTTCTCTCGCTCGATAGCCTGATTGCGGCTATCGTGCAGAGCGAGAGCGCGTGGAACTCTGCCGTCTCCTTCTGCGAGCAAGTTATGCTCGCGAAGGAGACGGCGGAGCGGGACCGGGACAGGTTTAGAACTCTCCCGGCCCGCCAGGCCCGGGAACGGGCCAGGTACCGCAGGCGACTCAGGCGCCGGAGGTCGCAAAACGACCTTCGTCCTCCATAAGCGCAGGCCTGGGGGTGACAGGTGAGGCCATCTGTCACCCTAGCAGAAGCAGGCCGTGGTGGCGGCGAGCGCGTTGCGAAGCGTGCTCGCTTCCAGGGAGCAGAGGGAACATGGGGTTCCCACACGGGGGGGTCGTCTACTCGTCTGTAGATGGCCCGAGGTATGTCGGGGCACCAGGGACTTCCTTTCTAGGTTATACCTGGTTCCCCGGCTATTAGTATACGAGACGGCGTGCGATTTTAGTCGGTTCGTGTCCGACATGCCACCGATAGGTGGTATTCGACGTGATTTCCGCACGAAAAAAAAAAAAAGGTAGGTGGATCGCGTGACACAGATATGTGTCTTCAGAGTACCAATCTCAAAATGAAGAGTTGCCTCACTGTCAATTTTAATGTATGCATTATACGATCTAACTAAATATCCTAATACCTGATTATTAAAAATTATAAGCCTATCTTAAATGAAGTTTCAAATGGCTTTAGACAAGGAAAGCACAATTTAACCTTTCTTCGTTTTAAGACACGAATTTTACAAATTGTTCACACAAGGCAGTTCAGTTCACGTGTATGGAAACTTAAAAATTTTTGAGTTATATGATATGTAATTATTACTAATTAGCAAAAAATAACTCACTTAACCGACACTAAATAAAAGAAATATTAAAATCTCCGTCAGCGGTTTGATTTATAGGTCTCGCTCTAGCCAATTAGCCATGTCGAATAGAAATTATTTAAATAGATATGAAAGTGGCAAATATGTGAAAATGTACAAATAATTTATCGTGTAAGAGATTTTAACAAAACTAGACATACAACAGGCGGTGAACGTGGTGACTGTTAAAATTTTAGCAAGATCTCTTGTAAGAAAAAAATATGTATCTTGTGGGAGATTTCCCACGAGATTCATATTTTTATCGAAAGAAAAACACCTTTCAAAATAAACTAAACGAAATTCTAATGAGTTTAACTTATATGACAATAAATTTGTGTGAAGTATGAGATACTAGGAATTTAAAAAATACTGACTCATGAATCCGTGAATAGGAATAATCCAAAGCCAAATACAGTCAAGTTTCGAAAACCGCTATCTTGTTAACCGAAAATGATATCCATTTATATTCCTTTGCGTTTCCCAGGGATCGTTTTCATGATATTCAATGACGATTTTATGAAAATTTCGTTACGGAACGGAAAGATTTAAAACTTGAACAATTTTCCAGACCTTCCCGATCTTGGCCATCATCCAAATTGACATAACATCCTTTAATTGACAATTGGCACAACCACTTTAATTTACCAACTTGTTTTGCGGTGCAAATGAAATTTAACAATAGTGGAGGAAGCTCCTTTTAACTGTTAACAAAACATTAGCAAACTTGGGGTTTAAACGTCGATCTCATACTCAATGTAACCTTATTTTGAAATGTTAGAAAGTTGTATAGCAAACAACATTAGATGAATGATATCTCACATCAACAACACAGGTTGCATATAGTAATCGGTTAGAATAGCTTTACAACATCAAGAGAGGTGATACCGCTATCTTATGAACACAGATATACAAGTGTAGGCACAGAACTAAGAATATGTGGTTGGAAATATTATCAACTGTATTTAATTCAATTTGCGTATCACTAATATGGGCATAGATTAGACTTAGACGATAATCATAATTTACACACATACATACAAATCTCTACGCCAATTCGTCACAAAAGACTTATTAAATATAAATCATAAACTCAATATATGTATCATTATATTGAATACACCAGAACACATATATTTGCAGAATTAAATGTTTATTAGAATTATGAATTTAAAATGTTAGTAAACCTTATTGTAGTAAAAATATTAAAAAGTAATTAAAGCAATAACAGTCTCACTTTATTTTCAATTATGTATTAAAACATTTGCTACAATTTGATTCGTAATGTTCATTGATGACAATGATATAATATTAAAAAAAAACCGACGACAGAACTAAGTGGTCCATGAAAAGCATGCAACGTAAAAGCTGTCTTCGTTAAAGTCGTATAAAAGATTATGTTTCTCAGTGGACGTTTCATGTTAAAGATATAAGATAATTGTTATACAATACATATTGTAGCGTGTAAGAAATAGGGGTTTTATTTAAACTTCTTTAGTGTACGGATGAAGTAGCCGGCACTATTATAATAAACTAATAGATTTGCATTGCTTACCCCCGTATTGTCAACTGCAGGCGGCGTGTTCACGATGCTACAACCCAAGCGAAGAATTAATTGTTCTTACACAATTACATTTAGAGACGAGTTAATTGTTACATAGCAAACACGTGTACCATTTTACTGTTATTTAACGTTTTATCAATTAAACTAAATAGTGTCATTATATTTAGAGAGAAATTTAATACAAAGGCGAAACTGTTCAATTGTTTGAAATTGTATTGATTTGGTCTCTGTACTTTTCCAGATTTTTCAACAATAACGCTGAATTACAGTCATAGGCCAAAATGAAATTATATTATTACCAACGAACGAAGCCAATTAACCAATATTACAAAGTGATACAAATATTTTACGAATGAGTTAACATTAGTAAAACGAAAAAATTAAAAAGCAAAGTTAAGATACGGCTAGGTTAATTGGTACATTACTTTATACATATTCATATACACGGCGCTTACACC